CGCTGCATTCACAATTGGAGAAACATTGTTTAATTCTTGTTTATATAACTGGTTTTAACAGACAGCGTAGTTGTCTGAATTTTTGCAAAGAACACACAGAGATAATCTGAGATGGCCAAACCTTTAATATCAACAGATGAAATGAAATATCAACACGTTCAGAGATAAGATCAAGAACGTCACATGACCTTGAGTATGTGTCAGACTGTTTTTCTGAAGAGAAATAAGTAAGATCATAGGTCATAATGATGTACGGATGTCATAGTGAAAAGCAAAAGCGATTTGTTAACTCGAGAACTAATATTGAATGGCGCTAGCCTTGCAGAGGTAATCGGGGACACCGGTTTGTTCAGAGGTTGACAGGCTATCCTAACTAGGTTTGTAGCTATTATGGTACATGCTCTCATGTAATACGTTGCTCATGTTGTGTGTGTTTGTTACATAACAAAAGAGCCAAATCGAGAGAGTGTACACGTAAGCACTGGTGCAGTTGGTGCAAGAACGCCACGGCCAGCGACTCAAACTGCGGGTTGAAAAACGCCCAAAAGATGACCAACGAGAAGGATTACGCAGTCCACTTGAGTGGCAATGACACAGATATTCAGCCCGGGCACAGCATCAAGATAACGCCACTGATGGTCGAAACGGGCGCTGCTTCACACACCATAAATAAACTGAGGAAGTTCAGAGCATTCAATGACAGTTTCCAGGCCAAGACACACTGCACGGAATTGGCTTGATGACACGACATGCAATGGAGAAGCAGAACACTGGAAAATGCGAAGGTGTGCCTGATGGACAACAATGGGGAATGCCACAAAGTAACGCTGAGACAGGCGTTATGTTCTCTGTGCAAGCATCTAGATCCAGTGGTGCAACAGTCATCTTCAAGAAAGGACTTGATGTTCTTTGGCACAGGGATGGGTCAGAATTCCACATTCACAAAAAATATCTATCTATCCATCCATCCATCCATTTTCTGATCTGCTTATCCTCAGAAGGGTGAGGGCATGCTGGAGCGTATCTTAGCTGTCTTCGGGCAGTAGGCGGGTGACACCCTGAACCGGTTGCCAGCCAATCACAGGGCACACAGAGACGTCCAACCATCCTCACTCACACTCAAACCTCGAGACAATTCTGAGTGTTCAATCTGCCAGCCATGCATGTTTTTAGAATGTGGGAGGAAACCGGAGTACCCGTACAAAACCCACGCAGGCCCGGGGAGAACATGCAAACTCCACATAGGAAGGCCGGAGCCGGAATCGAGCCCTGCACCTATGCACTGTGAGATTGACGCGCTAACCAGTCGCTAACCTGCCTCACAAAAAAGAGGTTGTATTATTTACACGCCGTGAATGGTGGCACTGATGACCAATGCAAACGGTGTCGTGACCTGCAGATCATGAGTCATTAGAATTAGCAAGGAGCATGAATCACAGACGACAAGGTCTTCCTGGCAAGGTCTAAGAATGTATACACACGTAAAACAATATATTTGTATATTGTTGATATGATTTTGCCATACAGTAATTTTGTGAGGCGAAGTGTGTTTTTTACATTCCCAATGCCAAGTTTCCATTTTTATGTAACTGGCAAAAACAGTGAGTTACCACCACCAGGACACCAGGTTTAAACATATAACAGTGCAACTCAGAATGTTAACTCCTTGTTGATGCCGTCAGTGTTAAACTTACTCAGTTATCCATCCATCCATTTTCAACACCATTTATCCTGAACAGGTTCAGGGTGGGGAGTGTGGACTTTATTTTAGTGGACTTTGGGCAGAAGGCAGACTAAACCCTTAACTGGCTGCCAGTCAGTGGGAGGACATATATAGAGACAAACAACCATTCACATCCACATCCACACCATCACAGAGTGGGAACCGATCCCACGTTGCCCGCACACAAGTCAGGCGAGTGCACCACTACACCATCAGCGACTTACTCTGTTTATAACTTATTCATACTGACATTACATGGTGGCAAAATATTATTGGAATGGAAAACATGCTTTTAACGTGATGTTCCTGCTTTTGCGAATGACATGCGGAGACAGCTAATGGTGCTCTTCTTATTCCCTTAAATAGAGTATCTTTCCTTTTGTAGCATTCACAGGGTTTACAGTCAGCTAAAGTAATTCTCTTCTGCAGCTGGGTAAAACCTTTGGTAACATTATTTAGTGAAGTGAAAATGTGATGCAATTTTATGATTCTATCGAATATTCATCTCCCATTCATCTTGAATCACAGAAGGTGTTAGTCATTGGTTCTGCAAAGGTTGTTCAAAGGCTGGTTTAAATAAGCCAGGTATGTATGTATGTATGTATGTATGTATGTATGTATGTATGTATGTATGTATGTTTATACATGTCTGTATGTAAGCCGTTAGGTAGTAGCACATAATATTGTAGCCAAGAACATGTTACAAAGGAAATTGTGTTTTTTTTATATAATTAGGTAGAAATGTACACTGAAACTATATACAAATGTCAGTAAATTCATCCGTGTTATGTGATATTTGAAAGCAAGATGTGACTTAAATCCGACACTGTTTTGGATTCTTCTTTGATAACACGTCACACACAAACATACTGTATGTGTTTCTTTGTAGCTGACATAAGCATTGCACAGAATAGTAGTCAAACATAATTATAAAAGACAGGAGAAAATGATTAGAACCATAACAAAATATTTAGAATAAACTTTACAATCAAACACTAAACAACATTCATTTTGGTATTCCCCCTCACGAGTTCTTGTGAACACCCTACACCAATTGTCTGTTTTGAACGATGCAATCTACAGTCTCCATTTTTCAGCCCTTTCCATAGATATTCAGTAGGATTTGATTAGGACTCTCCAGAATATTCATTTTTGGTGTGTATGTTTCTTGGTCATTGTCCTGTTGGAGGACCAATGGATGGCAGTAGTTCATCACTAAGGCTTTTGATCAAGAAGCCATAATTTTTCTTCATACACACATCCAGTCAAACCTCGGTTTTTGAACGTCTCGGTTCCCGACCAATTAGGTTTTCATCCAAAAATTTCGAGTTTTTTATGCCTCGGATGACGAACAAATTTCGGTTCTTGAACAAACTGAGCGGACATGAATGCGTCACTTGACTCCTCTCGCCTTCCTTACACGAGGAAGTGACACTTCCTCGTGTAGCATTTCATTGTGAACAGACATGTTCAATAAAGATGTTTTTATTAAAAAGAGCGTGGTTTCGGTTTTCGAACAATTCGGTTTTCAAACAGCCTTCTGGAACGGATTGTGGACAAAAACCGAGGTTTGACTGTATTTGGAATTGACATGTTTATGCTTAAATGTTCATGTTTTTACACCTATAGATGTTCATACTGTATTACTGTATACAATACATTGTAGTTCGTGGCCATTTTATTGGAAATGGTTACAACAAACTACCCTTATCATGTACATATTTGTTATGTCCCTCGAGGTAGGTTGTAACGAGGTTCAACTGTACTATTAGAATGCTTCGAAATGTGCGTTGGTATTACTGTCCCAGCACTTCGTAGGTTTAAATCTTATCTCTCAGAGAGGACGGACCATGTAAGTAATGGCAATGTGACCTATGAATATTGAAATGTCACCTGTGGAGTCCCACAGGAATCAGCACTCAGCCTCTATTGTTTCTCAATCGAGAAACAATTTACATGATTTCACTTAGTGATATTGTATGTTTATATAACATACGTTTTCACTGTTCTGTGGATGATACCCAACAATAAATGCCTTGAGAACAAACACGGCCACAGAATTGCTGTAAACTGCAGGCCTACCTTACTGAGATTAAACAAAGGATGCACTTCAATTTTATGCTTCTTAACCCTGATAAAACTGAGATGTTGATTGTTGGCCCTGTCAGACACTGGCACTTGTTTAACGACACCTCTCGTATTTAAAAAAAAAAAAAAAAAGGTATTAAGTTTTACTCTTTTCAAATCATCAATTCATTACAGTGAAACTCCTCTACAACAAAATCATGTTTGCAGCAAGACATTTTTCACAACAGGGGGTTTTTCACACACACACACACACACACACACAAACGTATGTGTACTCTTTATTTTCATTCCAATAGTGCATAAGTATGAGCATACACTTATTTGACACTTCATATAGTCAGTGTAGAAAGAAAAAAAGGGAAATAAATTGGGAATGTTTACGATCAGCATTCACTTTCACTTACATCAATTTCTTGGATAATGTCTTTTATTTTGCTTCCTCCGTCTTTCATTTTGATCACTTTTACCCTCTCTTCCAGCGTCAGAGCTCTTCTTGTCTTAGCTGCTTGACATCCAAATGTCCATTTTGTAGCCATTTTAGCAATGCAACGTTCTTGCTGCGTCTGAAACTAACAATAACAAATACTTCCTGGACTACTGTGCATGTGTAAACCAGCGTGGTGGTTGCTGTTGCCATTTCTGAACGAAACAGTCGAGGTCAGTGTTGTCTTAGACTTCGTTGTAGTGAATCTCGTCGTGAGGCAAGAGCATAGAAAAAGATTTCGTATGACGCAACAGTGTTTTTTTTTTTGTTGTATGGGGGGCAGGAAAATGGGAATGGTGTTAATGCATGAAGGTTTTTTCACACTAGGTGGGTATTTTCGTCCATGTAGGTTTTGTTGTAGAAGAGTTTCAGCAGTTGTCAGCATTGGCAAAACACAATACCATAGTCACATGCCGATCATGGTGGACATGATTGTACGGCATGTTGGGAAATTCACTCCAATGCTTGTGCACTACTCTGAGAATGTGTTTGTTCAGAGGCAGAGTGCACTCCGCTCTCATTAAGTTCTGATTTCAGCCTATGTACTAATCTAAACCACTCAGCAACTCGCGCTTGAACTGTTTCCATCTGTACGACTTGACGCACTGTCACACCGTGTCCCCAGTCGGAACGCCTAGTGCGCGCGCCGACTCTCCCTTTTTTTCTGCACTTTGAACAACCAAACAGCAAATGTGAGCAACACTATTTCTGAATGAGTGAACCACTGTGCGCACAGAGCGTATTTCCGAACACGCCTGTCGTTGTCCTTCGCTGCATTTGGTTTGAGCTGGTGTGGTGAGTCCTAATAAAGACCACAAAGAGCTTGAAGAATTGAAGTATGTGCTGAAAAAAAAAGAAACACACATTTCACATTTCTTCCAAACCTCAGTGATCTAGTAAATTAAAGAGCCAGCAGTGTCAATAGATGCTAAATTTCTCAAACCTAACCATGAAGATTAGGGGTTTCAATCCTGTTCCTTGAGGGCCACTTTCCTGCATGTTTTCTATCTCTCCCTGCGGCAACACACCTGATGCAATTGATCAGGGTCGTTATCTTATATAGAGCTTCCTGATGAGCTGGTCATTTGAGTCAGGTGGGGCGCAGACTGATGAAACATAAGGACGGAAGCGCTTCAGGATGGACGAGGAGGGAGGATGAGCATTTTAAGAATAAGGAAGAAGGACAGACAATGACGGAAGGGTGCCCAGGTCATGAACATTGGACGTACTGCCAAAAAAAGTCCCCATCTCTGCTATTTTTAGTACAAATGCGCAATTGCGCACAGGTTATGTGAAACCTTGGTAATGTTAGTCCCTTTTCAAAATATCATTGAAAAGGCACAAGAGCATATTAATCAAAGTTTGAAGAGCACATCGGGCGGTTCCATTTGCATCCTTCTTGCGGCCAGGATGTTGATAAGTGGCCAGATATTGATGACAGAGCTTACCTGGCTGTGTAGCAGCTTCCTGTTTAACAGGGATGAGCCTCTCTTGGACGGCACTGAACACCTCACCATCAAAGATGAATGGACCCGTCTGAAGGCATACATCCAAAAGAAGCAGTTGGGTAAGAAATGGAAAAATGCTATAGAGGTGGTATGGTATACAGGTTTGATAACATTCTCTGCCCGTACAAATTAAACACTTTCTTTTCAACCAGCTGTGACTGTGGTTTCAGCTGTTTAAAGTGAATTAAATTAGCCCCATTTGAGCACAAAAGAACTGGACCAGCTCATAGTTGTGGCCCTGCAAGGGCCGGCTTATGATGATTACGAAGAAAAACAGGCTGCGAGCAGATGGTGGGCAGCTGAGCACCGCAAGAAGAAACTGCTCTTTGAGAAAGCATCGGTTGGTGCAGATCAGGATGAGGAAGATGACCTTCTGAATTACCTTGTTGGTCATGTCGAACACTGAAAGCTTAAACATTTGCCAATTGACACAACTGATTACTGACTTACTGAAAATTTGTCATTTTGATCTTCGCAAAGGGCGGCCCGGTGGTCGACTGGTTAGCGTGTCAGCCTCAAAGTGCAGAGGTGCAGGGTCCGATTGCAGCTCCGGCCTTCCTGTATGGAGTTTGCATGTGCTCCCCGTGCCTGCATGGGTTTTCTCCGGATACTGAGATTTCCTCCCACATTCCAAAAACTGCATGGCAGGTCAATGAAATGCTCCAAATAGTCCCGAGGTGTGAGTGTGAGACTGTTGGTTGTTCATTTATGTATGTTCTGCGATTGGCTGGCAACCGCTTCAGGGTGTCCCCTGCCCTTCTGCCCGAAGACAGCTGGGATTTAACTTGTTAGGCTTCAGTACACTGAAAAACTGAATAACTTGACTGTACTTTTTCCTCCTCCTCGTTTAACTCAGCTCGTTAAATGCACTAAGGTGGGAGACTTTACTTGAAAATACCTTGGAGCGGCATGGTGTTCGATCGCTTAGCCTTAACACGTCCACCTCACAGTGCACAGGTCATGGGTTCGATTACAGGCCTCAGCTTTCCTCCGTGTGGAGTTTGCATGTTCTCCCCATGCCTGCGTGGGTTTCCACTTGGTACTACCTCCCACATTCCAAAAAATATGCATGGTAGGTTAATTGATCACTCTAAATTGTCCCTAGGTGTGACTGTTAACACAGATGGTTGTTTGTCTATTCAATAGGGGAACTATAAATGGGAGGTGGATAAAGTGAGAAGGAGGTATAAAGGAAAAGAGAGGGGGCAATAAGTGGGGGAACTCGGGAGAGGAGGTAGAGAAAAATCCAAGTTACAGGAATGACAAGAAGCCCCCTGAGGACGAGGCATCTGACCTCTATAACATCTGAAGACTGATGGGTTAAACGAGCAGAGAGGATGTCACATCCACTGCAAAACACACTGCAAACAGATAGCTCACATTAGCAGTACATTTACACCAGGGGTGCCCATTACATCGATCGCGATCGACCGGTAGTTCACGGACTGATTCCAAGTCGATTGTGAGGAGTGGAGAGGAAATAAGAAAACATACAAACATTTGTGTGTCTCTGTGCAGGTTAATAATGTATTTTTTGTGTTCATGCACACTGCATCCTAATCATCCTATCAGTCTCACTTTCACCAAAAGTATTTAAAAAAAACAGGTCACCTTGCAGCTTGCGATCACAGTTGTTGCAATGTCTCCTTTTTTATTATTATTATTATTATTATTATGATTATTATTATTATTTTTTTTTTTATTATTATTATTATCAGACAACATGCATTTCGTGTACAATTCACCGATGGCACTCGCAAAGAATGGCAATCTGAACGGCCGAGAGAAGCCTTTTAAAACGGTACACGTGAGCTACGATGTTAACAGGCTGCAAAAGTGCGTCGTATGCATCCGCGTCAGGTCTCCCAATAAGGTAGGGAGTGATTTCCTTTTCCCAAGCTCATAAACTCTTGTGTCTACTTTATTTTAGAAGCCATTATGGCTGATGCTCATCATGGCATGTGTGTGTGTAAGTGCGTGCATATGCGCTGTAACGGGTCGATTGCAAAAGATTGGTTGATCGTAAAGTAGATCTTCGGTCAAAAAAGTTTGAGCACCCTTTATTATCACATTAGTTTCAAGCATAGTTAAGTATCACACTGTTTTCCAAGACATAAATATAGACTCCAAAATCAACAAACCTTTGCTTGCTGTGTCAGGTCAGCCACAACTTTCCCTGTGTTGACCCTTTTTGCATTAATGGGGGCATCTAGTCAAAAAAGAAAAAAAAAGAGCCGAGTCAGTCGTGAGAATACTGAGATTAGACTACTGGTGGCACATAGGACATGAAGGATTTTTTTTTATTTTTTTACTTGACTTCCCCATTAATGACTTCCATTAGCCTGGGACTGTGATGGTCGAGGACCTTGTAGAACTCATACCAACCACCTTGCTGAATTCATGTAATAATAAAAGCCCGTCAAGTTGAAAAGAGTTGACACCATGATGTGATTTTTATTTTATTTTATTTTTTGCGCTGTCATACTCTAATTCACTACTGTAAGACAGTGTCCCAATAGTTATTTTGTTTGTTGTTGGTTTTTTTTTAAATAACGTGACTATTTGTTATTATTCCAGTAATTTCTGTGCAGACTGTTGATTGGTAATCTGGCCAATGACAACTGACAAATTGTGTAATTGCAATCCATTCCTATACAATAGAATTAATTCATACTCCACATGTATAAGCAATAATCACCTGTCACAATTAGCGTGGGGCAGTTGTGTACCTGAAGTTCAGTAAACGAAATTTAATGAACTCATTCATATCTTGGGCAATGTGAACTGAATGTGGTGTATTTTGACTTTGTGAGTGTTTCTGATCCCATTATTGAGCAACCCTGCTACCAACAGTCACAAGGCGTGTACGTCATCAAAATGCACCGTGGGTGTGTGGGGACAATCTTTAAAAATGTATATATATAGGGCGCACTGCATTATATAAGGCACATAGAATCGAAGCTACATTAGTGGCTATGGTTGCGCTATGAATCCACTAGATGGTGCTACGCTCAAGGGAATACAATAAAATACATCCATCCATCCATCCATTTTCTACCGCTTATCGCAGGGGCAGCAGCTTTAGCAGCGAAGCCCAGACTTCTCCATCGCCACTTCTCGCTCTTCCTGGGGGATCCCGAGGCCTTCTCAGGCCTGCTGGGTGACATAGTCTCTCCAGCGTGTCCTGGGTCGTCCCCGGGGTCTCCTGCCGGTGCGACATGCCAGGAACAGCTCACCAGGGAGGCGTTCAGGAGGCATCCTAATCAGATGCCCGAGCTACCTCATCTGGTTCCTAAAATACAATACAACTTTATTGATATAGAGCAGGGGTTGGGAACCTTTTTGACTAAGAGCCATATAAGCAAAATATTTGGAAATGTATTTCAGTGATATATATATATATATATATATATATATATATATATATATATATATATATATATATATATATATATATAAACTGTATTTTAAAATTGAATTCAACAAAATGTCAGCATAATAAGCCTTTTAAATAATTTTGTGATAATACTCACCATTAATGTGAATGGTTTTCCGTTCTACACAATTGCTAAAAATCCAGCAAAACGAGCGGAATTATAGTCAGTTTGCCGGGTCCATACACGGAGTTGCTGCGGGCCAGCGAGCAGCCTGCTCACGAGCTTGCACACTTCCTTTCCGCTGTCTCTTGCAGGATTTTTTTGATTCGAACGTAGCAATGTAGCATGGCGCGTGTCAAAGTGCCGCTTCACATTCGACCGTTTCATCGATGGTATTTTATCATTGCAAATCAGACACACTGCAGAACCTGTTCTCTCCACAAAGGCAAATCCTTCGGTCCATTCCTCCTGAAGTCTACCATATTCATCATCTTTTTTTCTTTTCGGCATTTTATTCGTTTAGGATTAACTTTGAGCTAATAACCGAGCGGGTTGATTCAAAAGGGGGCAGTTACCTGTTTCCACAGCAACGGCAACGTAGGCCAGTATTATCCAATCAAAATTGCTCCTGGAGCCAACTGCAGCCCTGAACAGGAAATGAGCAGCAGGAAGAAATCGATGGATGAATTAAACAAGTGAGAATATTTTGTTTTATCTGCGAACCAGATGCAATCATCAAAAGAGCCATATATTGCTCGCGAGCCATAGGTTTCCGACCCCTGATATAGAGCCTTCATAACCGCTGTAGCTGTAACAAAGCTATGAGAACTGGTCACAAATACAGACATGAAACATAAATACAAACAGCATTACAAAACAATAAATGAAAGACAAAAGTTATGAAGACAATTGATTCAACAAAAAGGCACACAACCCTCGTGGGCTCACATCTACAAGGGGCTAAATATCCTTAGAAGTCTTGCTCATCTCATTCTTAATTGGTTTCGTCAGTAATTAACGATGCTTTTGGTATTATGTTCCTTTCATTTTGGCTGCACAGCGCTCACAAAGTAGTTGTTTGACTGGGTGTTGGTGACTGCACATGTCAATTAATGTCGGGCAGAACCCTTTTAGGTTACAATTGGTTCCTGCAAATAACCACTAGATGGGATAGAAACACCAACAGCGAAACAACTCAATGGGCATAAAAAGAGATTGTAACTCCATACATGAAGCACATCGGATTATAGGGCGCACTGTCGGCTTTTGAGAAAATTGAACGCCTCTCGGTGCGCTTTATAGTGCGGAAAATACGGTAATCTCTGCAACGTGTTCTGAATCACTGCTCCCAGTGGTATGTACCCTTTTGATCTCCATTGAATAGTGTCAATTGTTGCAGCTTGACAGCTGCGTGAACACACTTCTTGCTGGTTCTTCTTCCTTCGTGTTCGGTGGGTTCCTCGCGGTGAACTTGGCATCAAATTTTGGCCGAATTTAAAACATTTGAGTGATTCTTGGAAAACCTCAGTGTTAGTTCCAATTCAAGTCGATTCTCGATGTCCAACCCTACATGTGACACTAATGAAGTATGGAAAAAGGATGGCTAGAGTAGATTTTCACGAAATTATTTTATTATTTTAATGCTTATTTATTAAGACTCACAACTCACTTAAATTTGAGGGTTTTTAGTTTTTACTCAACTATGCTTTCTATTTCACGGCTAGAACAAGATACTGTTGTCCTAGAGCATGAAAACAAGGTTTTATTTCACTGGAGGAAACAATCCTCAGAGAAGGCTGTGTGGTTTAGATAAGCAAGCGTGCTGTCAACTCAGCACCTTGCTTAAGTGGTCGAAAACAGCACAAATCAATACATCATTAATCATCAGTTTAACGTGTCCAAGCCCACCGTGGACAAGCATTAAAATGGAAGGATTACTGCAAGGAGAAATTAGCTTGATGGCTTGCATGGGAAGTCTGAGAGCTTCAACTGATAATCCAGATAAATGATGAGTGAGAAATGTGTTCAAGAATTGAACACCAAAGTGATGGATTGCTCAAGGCTGTGCCTGTTTATGTTTATTTATGCACCGGCATGATGTGTCCCCGGGCAAACTAGGCATTTATGTGCATTTTTTTTTCCCTCATGACTCATGCACGTTAAAAGATACTTTCATCATTCAAGTATTTGCCAACGCAGCCAACTGTAACATGGATATTCATACACCTCTGACACAAAGTATAGGAGACATAGACATTAAAGAACCAATCGTTTGTGTTCATTGTGTAAGAACTAAATCCAATTACGTATATCAAATCTTCGGGAAATATAATAAACGGATGAACTCTCAATATGTATGTGTGTCTCTTCGCAGTTGAAAATAAAACAGTCTCAAGAAATGCACTCTGCTTGAGACGGTTTGGATTGACAGACGTTTCTGCTTTTCACGCTGCATTATAACTCTAAATTCTAGACACAAACATTTGAACATATTTTCCATCTGTCTGTCATGCTGTTTCCACTCTCCTACTGCTATAAAACTACCAATTTTCAAAATCAAGGTAGAACTCTGACATTACACACACACACACACACACACACACAGTCACAGTTGATCTATTTTTGCTCTTGAGCTATACATTTTGTATGAAATATGTCAACCGTTGGAACATGTCACTTGCCTTGACTTTCCACGTGAGTGCCACTGGAATGAAAGAGAAGAATTTCACGAGTGCCACAAGAAATCGAGCAGGAGCTCTAGAAGGAAGCTGTGGTGGTGCAGTCAGCTTATGTATTTATTCACTCTCATGATTCCCCTGAGTGACACTCGAGTTAGCCCCTTCAGTAAAGTGTATTTATGACTGCATATTATTCAGATAAAACAGAAGAATAAGACAGACTGTAGGAGCAAATCGCCTTTTTATAGTGCCTTTCTACCACTTGAAGTCTTTTTCCTCAAAAGGCTTCACAACATTCATCCATTTACAAAACGATTAATGATGATGGCATTTGTTTCCATGGAAGGAAAGTTAACTGCTTATTCACACATTTTTGTTCAAGGATACTCTGACAGGGCGATATAGGAACTCTGGAATGAATTTGTAACCTTTGACTTGAGAGATGCAAAAGACACAAAAGACAGATAGACTTCAAGAAATTGTTCATCTTGTGTCTATCCCACGTATCCTGTTTAGAGTCACAAACGACCTGGCGCCTATCCGAGTAACTGTGGACAAGAGGCGAAGCACCCCCTTCATTCGTCGGCAGTCAATCACAGAACATTTTTCTGTCAATAGCAGATTTTTTGTGAATAATGTCATTAGTGTGAGAATCGTGTATTCAATTATAGCCTTTTTTTTTTTTTTTTGGATGAAAAATCCATGTCGCTTGTAAGGATGTAGAACTAGGTTAATTTTGTAGTACTTGTTTTGTCCACAAATAACTTCATTAGCGCGTATGTCTGCTAATGGAAGTAGCAGTGTCCTACTTGCCCCATTAGCCCAGCATCATTATCCTCGTCTCATCTAATCTGGATAATGGCATGCCTACTGAGACTGTATGTGGAGGTCAGAGAAGTATTGCTATTGTGCATCACCTTGCCACAACATGATAGCAGTCGAAAACCTGGGCTCCAGTTGGGTACATCTAAGACTTTAGTGCAATTTAATACGAATTTTAAAAGATAACAGTGGATAGTCAGAAGATATCCAATATATTTTAGTAAAATCTGCTGCCAATGAATATGTAACATTTATCATGCTAGAGATTACAATAAAAATGTCTTCCAATTTTTCTGAAAAGCAATTTGACTAAAACCACAAAGCACTGTT